AATGCTGATGATATGTGAAGTCAAGCATTTTCGTAATGTCAGCTGAATGACAGCTTCGCGACAGCCTGCAGCCTGCCAATATCAGCCAATCTAATGTGATCAGTTCGACCCAGTCAATGTCAAGTTCTAAACAGCAGGTAACTCCGTTTTTCCGCAGCTCTGGCTCAGTTATCATTTCGTCCCGGGAGCATACAACATTGCAAATATGTAACAAACCTTTTCCGTAAAACTATCAAGTACTTAAGAAATTTGGTGATACTCTCTCTACTTGTAGCTAATTTTACATGCCAATTTGAAAAGTTATAGTCTTTGATGATTTGTGATGCATGTGTACACAGAAACTTCTTCATTTGAAACTGGTACAAATAGATACAGAAAAGGACTTTCCTTCAAGGACTCTCTTTGACAGCCTGAGCACAAAGCTGAAAGCATTAAATTAATGTGACAGCAGCAATAGAGGCACTGCTTGTCGCTGAAGACTGATCTGTGCACGACATCGTCATCAAGCACGTTAACAAAATCTGGGACATGGAAGAAAGCCTGAAAAGAAGGAATAACTATATAATAAATATATACAATATTCATCATTATGTAAAAACAATCTGCCTGAAATAGGCTTAGTTTATTTGCACTGCCTGTACGGTTGCATTTAGGTAGCAGGTTTGCCCAATATTTACAAGTCCACAGTGGACAAGCCCGCAAGCCTCTTCCAAATTTTTCAGAGGGCCATCTGCAAACTAACAAGAGAAATGGAATGGGAAGTGTGTTGGGTGCTTTCAAACGTATTGAGGAATGCCTTGCTCGAAGTAAAATTATTTTCCAATCCATACGGAAAGGGCACTATTAATACCAGAACTATGCAAACCATTCAGGTAACCATTCAGGTGCACTTGGTGCAATAATTTGTTTGCTACTCTTCATAAACTATACGGTCAATATTCGACAGTTGACAAGGCGCTTTTTGGTTTGAATGCGTTATTTCAGTGTTGCACATAGGCAACAAATGTGACAGATGCGGTTAAGTAATCAGCAAGCAACGACTTTTATGAACTTTTGCACGGGAATGCACTCACGAACATTATCACAGCCCAAGTACTAACCATCGATATTAATTTCACATACCTTTGACAAGATCATCTCTTTTGCTATTAGTACCTAGTTATACAGAATAACTTCGCGACATAACGGTAAACAACCAACTTTACAAACAAGCGAGGGGCGGGGCCAGGCGGGGGGCGGCGACCACCGCAGACCTGATTTGTCATACCCCGAACCAGTATCCGACGAACTCTTCTTTATCTTTGGATCCGGTGAAATACCCTAATGTAAAGAAAGTTATATATTCGCTACACATTCGGCGTCGAACAAAACCTTCCTTTGGGCACAAGGGTCCATAGATTGTCTACTATCACTAATCTGTCAAATTAGAACATTTAGTGAATATCTACATTGAATTTCTCTAATTTTTGAGTAAAAGGTCCCCAGCAAATGTTGTGAGCATGTCAAATTTTTGAACCAGCAGGCCCTACCTTTTTATTGGCTCGTCGTTGGTGTTGGTGCCGCAGGCCTAGCTATATGTGTGCGCTAGGCGCGTCGCTGGGAAGCCTGTTGTTTGACGGAATTCACAAGAGATAGGATTCACAAGAGCTAGAGCCACAACAGCTAGGATCCAGCTATGCGTCACGAGAGCTAGAGTTCACAAGAGCTAGTCGTCGCAAGAGCTAGAGTTCACAAGAGCTAGAGGCAAATCGACCGTTACCGTTGGACGACTATACTCAGCGGTTCGCGCGGGTGTAAGTGCGTAGATCGAGGGTCCGTGTAGTTAAACCGTGCGCACGCATGCATGCATGGGTCACTGTGAAAAATACCGTAGGCAGGTACGGTTTGCCTACGGTCTGTACCGTATTCTTAGCGTACGGTCAGGCCATAGCAGTATGAACTGTACTTTCTTGGTTTGGCTAAGAGCTGTATTCGACTTATCCAACATTTTTTCAAGTTACAGTCTGCTCTGTATGACACAGACCGTGACCAAAAATTACGGTCCCGAACCTGGCAATAAATTTACAGCGCAGACCAACCGTGTGTTTTCTAACAGTGACGTTGGGCGTGCTGGGCGTGGTCGCGGGGTCTGCCCGACGAAAAAAGATTTGTTTGCTTTTGGTATGCTTTCTGTATGCTTTCTGTATGCTATCGGTTCGCGGAGGGGCGCGCTCGGTGCGCCGATTGGTCGCCGAGGTTCGTCAGGCTCCTGAGCGACGTATCGCCAAGGATCACCGGAGGTTCGCGCCGGAGCGACTTATGCTCGCCATCGGGTAGCTCTATGCGGTGACAGAGCGTACTGAGTATGCATTCAGGTCGCTCCAAGACGAACATGAGCGACGCCAATACGTTTTTGATTCGCCTGGACACCCCGCCGTCGTCGGGTATTTTCCTTCCCAGGAAACCCCGGCTGGGCGCTGGCGCTAATCCCTAGACCGGCGCACTTGCCAGCAGAAGAGGGGACAG